ATTCCTTTGAGGTGCGCACACCAGCCCCATCTGTCTTGTCAATATTGTACACAATTCTTGGATCCTATGGAGCTCCTTTTTGTTTGAGGGGCCAGCTTCACCACCAGTGCCTGGGTCAGACAGGCTGCCTTCCAGTACATTGTCAGTGAACTGGGTTTGTTTTCCTAACATTTTCCCTCCTTCACAACATTCACTTTTTTACTATATATATCTTTCCACTATGCATTTTGTCTTGCTTATTTTGCTCATTTTTCAATTTTTTTTTCTTTTTCTTTGATCAAAAGGCTTCTTTTGTCTGGTTCCCTTTTCTTTTTCGGAGGGGGAGGGGGATGTTGTCACATACCTTTGGCCATTTTTGGGCAGTCCAAGACTGTACATCAGATTACAACCAGTCAAACCATTCTGCCCAAATCAATGAGCCACATCTGACCCCACAAGCAAAAAAAATGGGAAAGTAAGACCAACAAATTTACAAAGAGGGTCTTCACAGTCAAGTAGAGATAGGTATGAGACAATGGGGGACCTGGTGAAAAAATGAAAAAGTAAAGTATAGATTAGAGTGGATAGATTGCAACATCAAAAGTCATTGAACAGGATATCCAGGAAGAAGATATTATGTTGTGTGAGACTTTTTATGTTCAGCCTTTGCCCTGTCCTGGTTTTTTATTTCTGGATGCAACTCCACACACTTCTGAAGCTTCTGGAAAAAGGGAAATGCCAGGCCATCCCAAGATGGCCGGATTGGTCCAATATACTTCTTCTTTTTCCTTGCTTCTCCTGTGTATTCCTGCGCCTGGCCCGTGGCAAAAATCAATTTGTCATCTACCAATTGGGCATCCCCATTTGCTATGAGGTGTCGGATTGCTTTCATCACATTAGTTTGCTGCACAGTTATCAAATAGATGGTTTTCCATATCAGCATAACAGAATTTCGTAGGCTGATCAAGGACCCCAACTCCTCACAAAATTGTAGTGTATCCTGCAACGTTTTGCTGCACGTTCACATTGGTTGATGGTCTTGAATTTTTGATCGATCAGAGTGGCAACGTGCTCCCAAAAGGAAGGCTTGAGTGGTCCAGCAGGTTCTGATGCTACAAAGTCGACGATCACTTGGGTCTCCTCAGGCCGAAATCTTGGCCTCAGCTTGTGCCGCTTTGAGAGATCCAAGGCAGAGTGGTTATGTTCCGCACCAATCTTGTCATCTGGTTTCTGGCTAGGGGCAGGTTTCGGGTGCAAGGAACTCGTTGCGACAGTCGGCTCCGTGGGCGAGGTCTCCATCTCAACATCATCAACCGGCTCGAATTCGCCAGCTCGGTCATCTGGCTTGGCCAGGGTCGGCTCCGTGGGCGAGGTCTCCATCTCAACATCATCAACCGGCTCGAATTCGCCAGCTCGGTCATCTGGCTTGGCCAGGGTCGGCTCCGTGGGCGAGGTCTCCATCTCAACATCATCAACCGGCTCGAATTCGCCAGCTCGGTCATCTGGCTTGGCCAGGGTCGGCTCCGTGGGCAAGACTTTTTTTGGATAGACAACAACACTGCCTTCCAGTTCTCTGCGGAAATCTAATGGGAAAGGAGGAGTTCAGCTTGAGGAAGCAACTTCCACAGGAGTATAATTTTCCATAACTGACCATCAATTTCTTGCGCTGAAGAACAAACCTCATCAAGAGCATTGCACTTGATTTGCAATAGAAGAAGCCAATCATTGGTAAATGTGATGCATATGAGTAGGATAGTGAGGAGTGAACTAAGTAACTAACCAGTAGCTGGACCATTGCTTGGTCCACATCTTGACTTGTGCTCGAAATCGGAGGTTGTGGGTCCACCTCTTCACATGTGCTTGAAATGGGTGGTGGGTATGGGTGGACTGTAAGTTTCCCACTTTCACAGTCCAGGTCGATGGGAGGTGGCATTGCTTCCAAGTCTGTGTAATCCCAGTCGGGGCAGTACTTGGCCGCCATTGCACAGAATTGGGCCCGCGCGGAATTCATGTTCTGTACAAATTGAAAGGTATGAACTGATCAGTGTTCAAAGTGAAAGAAGAACCAGAATGATGATGATGAGGGAGAAAGGACAGACATAATAAGAGTCAATTTTTCATTCAAGACTACCTACCTGAGTTGATCTGATGGTTGTATGGGCTTGTGGTGGTTGCGGATTTATCGTGGAATCAAAGCTGGAGAAAGTCACAGGTGAGGTGATCAGCATCAGGCAAGAAGACTCGAAGAGAGTTAGGCATGAGACTTACAAAAGAGCAATTGATTGGTCAACTCCGGTGAGATAACATAAGAAGGGAGAGGTGACTTCCTTAGCTAAAGGAGAGATCACGCGTCTGTTGCACGGGGAATGGTCATTACCATGGCCTTTGTCTATCATGGCCTGAGGCCTATGCACTTACTTTGACAGGAGTGTTGCAGCGTTTCCAAATGGGTCGTGACGATATTCGAGACTGCAGTGATATGGGTTTGGGTCAATGTCTGCTCATGAGTTGCATTGTCAGATCTCTGATGCTCTTACGGACTGTGTGTTATTTGATGTTGTCTTGCAAGGCCTCAGTTTCGTGCAGAGTTCAACCCCAAGCCTTGTGATAGCAGAGAGAGGATGGTGGTGTAGGGGATATAAAACACGCCGTTCTTTGTGCGTGGTTTGTGATTACCACTGACAACTGATTGGAAAACGGACAAAAAATGAGGTCAGTATCGACCCCTTCTCAGACAGAATGGAGATAGAGGTGAAACAGATACAAAACTGTCTGACTGGAAGAACGGTGGGGGCCCAAGCGTTCCAGTATTTATCCTTTTGGTTTTTGGAACCCAAGCCGGTTGATGATGATGGAGCTTGAGTAACACGCCTGATGAAATTCCAATACGAAATAGTTTCCACGACGTAGGAGCATCCGAGATAAAAGGGCAAGCGTTGGTCAATCAATACTTCAAGCCGATCGATGTAATGATAAACCTTCGACCACAGACGAGCTTACGATGTAGAGACCAGATTCCTTCCGATCGAACCGATAATAAACGCGCACTGAAAATGATGGGGTACTGCAGACAAATCAAAAGCTGCTTTATAAGTGTTAGGAAGCAAACGGCGACACTCTACGGTGATCCCGATCCAAGCGGTTAGCTACCTATCCCTCCTGGCTCCGGTCTCTCGACTGGATGGAGAAGAATGCGACCTTCGCTGAGTGAGGGTCGAAATACTTTGATCGGACCGAAGTGGTATGTAGATGTGGTGGAGTCGGGAGAGTCCGGCAGTCTTGGTATGCGGTGTGGTTGATTATGACGTCACACTCAACTCAGAGTCCCCGACACTTTCATGAACCCCTCTGCCAAAAAGCCAGCTCAATCCTCCAGCCGGCCCCACCTTTGTAGGCACTGGCTACAGCATGCCAGTACAGGGGCCAGCACATGCTCGTCTCCCTGTGGCGATCACGACCACAGGGGCCTACGGAGTATCGGATCTCCGTCGGAAGCCCGGCTCCAGTAGAGCCTCTATCACTACACGCGCTATGACGCGCTTTACTCTGTTTTCTTCCTTTTCTCATACATTCGTTGCGGCACAAGGCGCCGCCCCTTTGTTCTTGTCTTTTTTTCGCTTAGAACTCTCAGTTGTATCGGCCTCTATTTAAGAGGCCTCTTTCTCTGTTTCTGTGTGTTTTCATCATCGATCTTAAAAGATACGAAATACACACCCACACTCTCTTGTATTTCTTTATAAGTCAAAAGATATAACCAGAATGAAATGAATGACTGAATACAAACCCCAACGAGATGGAATCTACCAGTCCCCTCCACTGATCAACAGCTTCTTGCCCATTCATAGCGACATCATATTTCACTGACTTTTTGCGCATAAAGTTAGTCAGGATGGTCTGATTGATTCGATTATTCGATTCGTTTTCGTTCGACCTCACCATCACGACGATCCTCTTTTCTTATCGCCTCAGCCAAACGCTTGTCCTCGATGCGAGTTTCCTCAGCTCGCTGCCTTTGGACTTCAGAGGCTTACTGACCTTTGTGCATGAGCAGCAACATGCCTGCTGCCGCAGGATCCTCTTTCTTGGGTGCTTCCTCGGTCCGGCCTCGACGACGAGGAGGTACTCCAGATTCCACCGGAGGGCGACCAGTGGTTGATTTAGCGGGAGCCTTCTGAGTCGTGGGTAAACCATGCGCAGGGGTAACTGGTTGTACCGCAGGAGTAACTGGTGCAGCGGCAGGATTTGCAGCCAAAGCCGAGGTAGATGCTGCTAAAACCACAGGAGTTTGGGTAGCTGCAAGCATGATGTTGGTGGGCTCCTCGAGTGGTGGGGTAGATGCATCAAGGGCTAGTTCAGCTTCGGTTAACGGTGGCTCTCTGTGTCGACCTGTTTGATTGGCACCAATTGGGGTGATTTCAGAGACCTGGTGGTCTCCATCATCCGAGGAATCGTGGTTAAGTGGTGAAGCTGGGGTCGGATCAGCAGTATTTAAAAGCACTTCCATAGGTTCATCGAGCTCATTGTGTCCATGAGCAAGGGCCGCACGGTTTGTCTCATGCATGTCGAGGATCTGATTCCATAACTATATGTAGGGACAAGATGATCTGTCAGCATAGATCTTACTAAAAAAAAGGAGAGGAATCACTCACCGACATCGGCAATGTATGTTCAACTAATGCTTCACATCAACCTCCACTGCCTGACCGGTCGAGTTGATCTTTAACTCTCTGTAGAAAAGGCTTCCCATCAGCAAATTGGAATCATGACATGAAGAGAAGAATAAAAAGCTCACCCTCCAGGATCCCATAAGGGCTTGATATCGTGCAAGGAGTTTAACGGTTGTACTCCCTTGTAGTAGTGGGAATATATCAGTATCGATCAGGAACGCCAGAAAGAATTTTTGGAATGCGACGAATCGGGACGAGGCTGCCTTTGCAGAGGCTTTCTCCATCTTGTTGTGATGCTTTTTGGCGGCGATGTGATCGGCCACTGACATCTGACCAGGGTTCCTCTTCTTTCCACGGGTGGCTGGCTTGTCTCGGGATGGAGCACTTACAGTTGATGATGTGATAGTCGAAGTGGATGGCTAGACAGAGGATGGTTCGGTGGGCGAAATAGATTGCAATGATAATGGATTTACCTCCATATCAGACTGCTGATTTCCATACTGCCCCGGAAAGGCCTCGGAATGATTGCCGAGTGGTTCTGGAAAGGTTTGCGGATAGTTTTGGAGTTGTCCAGGAAATGCTTCGAGGTTATTGCTGAGTAAAAAATTGGCCTTGTTCAGGCAAAGGCGCTCCGGTGTGTTGGGGAAATCCCGGTCTCGAGTTGTTCGCAGTTTGCTGGTAATGATTCCATCCGGGTTGATTATTGTTCCACCCTATCCCAGCTGGATGGGAATATTGCAATTGGTTATGACTGGGAGTTGGCCCAGATGTTCGGTTTTGGTGAGGGCCGGAGTAGTCGTCTTCATTATTGGAGGTCGAGTGACCTTGGGTGATGTTTGGATTGGGCGGTAGCATTTCTGGGTGCTGTCTGAAGAAAAGATTGATGTAACAGTTAGCTTGGCCCAGAACAGCACAACTCCGTGAGATAACCTTGCTGCTAACCGGACAAAGTGATCAACAAAGCTGAACACGGCACAGGCTTGTTCTCCAACTTGGTGAGGAGGAGAGGGTACAGCACCGTACCGGAAAAATCAGATCTTTAGTACTACAGCTGCGTGGCACAGTTAGGTTTAGATCTATGATGACGACAGATGACGACAGGGTCACATGAGATCACATGTGTATGTATACTTGAGAAACAATGTGTACAGTCAATACGCACCGGTTTTCATCCGTTCTCTTTCAAAACTTGTGTTATCAAAGAAATCAATTTTTTGATTGCTTGAAAGTCCTCCGTGAGGACTTTTGAAGCGCTTTTGAAGGAAAAAAAACTTCAAAATCAAAGCCAACTTTGAACTTCAAAATTCTTTCAAAAGTTTTGCAAAATAATTTCAAAATACTGTTTATAAGTGGGGCCTTACCTGGTTTTTCTGATGAACATCGCGCATTGTGTTCAAGTTCACAACCAACCTCGTCGGTTGGTTGTGAACTTGAGCTTGTAGGCGTTGCATCGTTATGCGACAGCCAGGAAGGCGTTATTGTCAATATTTGTCAATGTGTAATCTAGCGGTCCAGCACTATTGTGAATTGCGGCGGGAAGCTCACTCAGATCGGTCGGGTCGTCATGTGCAAGAGGGTTCGTTGAAACAGATAAGCAAGTTGTTGATTATGGTGTGAAGGGGCAAAATGCAGTGATGAAAAACCGTAAATAAAAATATAAATTGTGGCAATGAAATCGTTAGCATCAGCAAGGTACGCGTGGTCGGGATGAAATCCGCCGATACTGTCACTCTTCCGAGTTAGTTTCGAGAAAGTGACTCACTCTTAGCCCGTCGTCTCGTAGTGGAGGAAGTGTGTGATTGTCAAGCAGATGAGCGAGTTGGCGATGATTGTCTCCGATTGACGTACGTGTAGGGGATCGTTGTGTTGTAGGAACGATATAGGGATCAGTGGAATTACAAAGCTGCCCTATATGCAACTGGTGCAAAGTCTATGGACAGACGTGGTGTCGGTTGAGCGGTAACCGAGAAATGAACGATGGCGGGAGAGGAAATGTGCTGAGAATAGCTCATAGGCTTTCGTGAAAATATCGTGTGATCGGGTGCTTGATCGGGAAGTTACCGTTTTGATGACTTCAAATTGGATCAAAGGTGCTAGCTGAACGTTTGTGCAAGGTGTCGGGTGAGCGCTTACCAAGACGGAAACGATTACATGTGAAGGACAGGAAGGGTGCTGGAAATAGCTATGATTGTTTTGCAGGTAAAGTTCGTGTGATTGACGTTTAATCGAGGGGATTTCCGTTTGGATGACTGCAAATCGATTCGAAGTCAAGCTAGCTGAAAGACATGCCAGACTTCCGATACACGCGTCGATGTTTCTTTCGATGTACCCGGTCGGTCATTCGTTCGATGAGAGGGACGGGCAAACGACATAAAAGGAGCCTCGATCGTAGCGGAAAGCTCATCAACTTCGGTTGAGGTATAGAGTCGGAAGAAATGCTGGGCGCCTTCGGGAGCTGCCCCCTTCGGAGGATCTGAGAACGCAAAGACACAAATAAAAAGAGAACCATCAGCTCCTCTTTGGGGGGGTGGACCAAAAAGAAATTGAGAACTCCTGAGGCTGCTTGACGGGCACGCGAGATCTTTTGACGGGTTTGAGTGTGAGTTGATGGTGACCTGTTATCCATGGACTGAGAGATTGGATGTGTCGTGGATTTGGTAAGGTTGGCTGAGGTAAGTTGGGATGGTGGTGGCTAGAGAAAGACCTCGAATTCTCCTGAACCCCGACTACAGCAAACATGTTGACACTTGGGTCCAAGGTGGCTCGCATAAAACCGTGACACTTGGTGAGAAACAACTACAACTGTGTCATCGGCCTCCTCATCCGAGTTCACAACCGCTCCGGAGTCCGGTCTCTTCTCTTCGGCATCGATCTCAACATCATCATTGATCAACGCTCAAACCGCTTCCCTAGATCAAAATCAACCCACCAATTCTCGACCATCTCCAGTATCGGCGAGGCTTTAACTTGGATTATATATATAGTCTTGATAGCTTCCAACTTGGTGAGAAATGTGCCCGGGCATTTTGTAGTTTTTGACTTATTCCTGACTTACTTGTAATTGACATATTGACCGTTTCTTTTTGTTTAATTTATCTAGGCTCGTTTTGCTCCAAAACAACCCTCGTGTGTTGAAAGTTGACGTCGTTGTAAATTGTATTGAGGTTTTGGTTCTAATCTGTCAGGTATTGATTATTCGATATATTTCTTTATTTCGTTATAGTTTCATATGCTTACATAGCAAACCCGTCTCATACCTAAGCAAACAACCCTTCAAACTGCCTCAGACTACCTCGAAAACCTGTCAGACCCTCCTTCAACCATCGCAAACTACCTCAGCAAACAATCTCAGCAGCCCCCTTCAACTACCTCAAAGCACCCTGCAAGACCAGCATTGAACCGTCCCGAGCTGCCTCAAAAAACCTCAAAACTCAGTAACTGCAACAAACTACCTAAAACAACCCCCCAAACCTCAGACTACCTCGCAAACCCCCCTCAACAAACCAGCTCAGACCCGCCTTTGACCATCTCAATCTCCCTCAAAAACACGGAAACCTCAATAAACAAGCTGAGACGACCGACCAACCAAACTCCCTCAAGAGCCTCCAGCCAACCTACAACGTGCCCAAGATGCCACCAAAACGCACGCAAACCAAGCCGAAGCCCAAGCGCACTCGAACAAGGCCCAAACCACAGCCACCTCAACGCCTACTCGACCCTTCTGTGAAGTCATCCACCCAAGATCAAGACACCCACGACATACCTCTTGACCCTGTCCTTGCTGCCCTGGGCAATGAAGTGACCCCAAAAAATCGAGAAGAAGATGAAGTGTCGAGTCCTGAGAATGTCCAATCAAACTCGGATCAAAACCCAAATCAACAACAATTTGATCTTCCACCACCACCGGATGCTACATACACGAATGCAACAGACATGCTCGAATCAATCCAGAATTTTGCGACCAACCATGGATATATGATAGTAACTCGGAGGACACACGCAAACAATAAAACTTTCAAATGCGAACGGCAAGTCATTCTTTTCTATTCTGCTCATGTTTTCCTTCCTTGGCCAATTGATTTTTTTTGTCTTGGTAATTGACTTATTTTTCTCTTATTTGTGCCAATTTTTTGCTTATTGCAGGGGAAGCTCACCATCTCAAAACCGGCATAAAAACAACACGAGCGGCACTCCTTCCTCATCAAGATTGATCAACTGCCCCTTCTCTGCATCTGCCAAATTCAACAGGGAATCAAAATGCTGGGAGTTCTCTTGTTCTAAACCCTTTCACAACCATCCAGCCAACACTTCTGAGACCCCCAATCCACGACTTCCCAATGCAATCCATGAGGAAATCAACGAATATGCCAACGGTGGAATGAAACCAGCTCAAATTCACAAGGCCCTCAAGAGTCTTCATCCCGAACTCAACATCACATCCAATCAAATCTATGCGGCCCGGAAGAAAGCGAAACGGCAAGAACTTCAAGGAACTCCAGCAATTGTCCAGCTGAAGAAGTCCCTCTCAACCTTCGATTTTACTATTGAATCTGATTTGACTGAAGATGGTGTTTTGAAGGCCATGTGTTTCTATCATGCTTCTTCTGTCAGACTCCTCTTGCATTACCCTTTCATTCTCTTTCTCGATTCAAGCTATAAAAACAACCAATTCAAGATGCCCCTCCTCCACATTGCTGGACTTGGTGGAAATAATAAACCTTTCTCTATGGCTTTCTGTTTCACTTCTGATCAAAGTCATCCTTCTTACTCCTGGGCACTCCAAACTCTCCTTTCACTTTTCACTTCTCACCGACTTCCCCTCCCCCCAGTGATTGTCTGCACCCCTAACCAGTCTCTAATGGAAACTATTGATCAAGTCTTCCCCAAATCTCAAAATCTTCTCTCCATTTGGCACGTTGAGAAGGATATCTTTGACAAAATTCCTCCTTTTCTTGAAGGGAATAATTCAAAAAAAGGGTTGCGGGAACAGTGGAACGATTTGGTTAAAGTAAAGCAACACAAATCTGATTTTCTGTCTGCATACGACCGGTTCAAAACAAATCTTTCCCCTTCTGTAATCAGTCATGTTGATTCGACTTGGTATCCACTCCGTACCCGATTTGCAAATGCTTGGACCAAGGAAATCACCCACTTTGATCACACCTCTCTCAGGATCGATTCTTCTCACCCTTACGTCAAATCAGAACTTCTCCGTGACACCAGGGACTTTGATTTAATTGCTTCATCTCTGTCCAAGGCCTTAGAACGAGAAGAAGAAGAATTGCAGGAGGAATTTGGTCAAAAACAGATCAAATCAATCAAAGGCATCAACAAAATCTTTGGAAACTGTCTTGGAGAAATCTCTTGTGCTGCACTGAAGAAGGCTCAGGTCGAACTCACACGTGATGATCATAACCAGTGTACCGGATCTCACAAGAAACGGACGGGTATCCCATGCCGACATGCTCTCACCAAATTGTATACCAAGGAGCAAAAGGTTGCCAAAACCCATTTTCACCGCCAGTGGCATTTTAAAGTAAGTTCTTTTCCTTTTCCTTTGTCTTTTCTCCCTCTCCAAAAAAAAATCCCAAGAAGGTGTTGGAATGCCCCCACCATCCTAATCATCCAGATTTCCTGTTTTATCAATTAACATACTGATTGATTATGTTTTGTTATGTTTGATAGCAGGTGCTGGAATCACCCATCAGTCAGGAGGAAGAAAACCCCCATGAATCCGAGAAACTCTCTGGCCAGCTGATTGAAATCAGGTCCAAACTCACCGCCTTGAAACCTCCCGAAAGAGAAGTCCAACTGGAAAAGATATTTCGAATTCTTGATGGATCTGCCATGGTCGTCGACATCAAGCAGCCTTCAAAGAAACGTGGAGCACCCAAACTTGAGAATGTGGCCAACCAAAAGAAGAGGAAACCATATGATCCACTTCTCTGGATACTCAAGAGAAAACCCAAGCACGCAAAGACACCCAACTTGACCCCAGTCCAACCACCTCCCAAACACTTTCCCGACTTTGATCTCCCTGAAGCTCCACACCTTATTGGTTCCCTTCCGACATCCATCAAAAATTGTGTCAAAAATGTTTTCAATGTTGGCAATGACGGCCACTGTGGATTCCGTGCGACCTCTTACTGCCTGGGAAGAAGCCAAAACGAGTGGTTCAACATTCGAGAAACAATTGCTGAAGAGATGACAAAGAGAAAGGAATTCTATCTGCGAAAACGATCTTTTGAAGATGATGAAGGGTTTGATGCAGCTTTATCAAGGATTAGGGTCACTAGTCAAATGGGTGGGGTGACGGATGACCAATGGATGTCAATGCCTGAAGATGGTGAATTAATAGCTGATGCATTCAATACCCCTGTCTTTTTCTTCTCACTCAAATGGTCTCAAGGTTTCCTCCCCCACTTCTCTCCTCCCAATGACAACCCTCCAATCATTCTTGCACTCATTGACCACTTGCGCCACTTTGTTGTGCTTGAACTCAAAGACCCCCTTTGTTTCCCTTTCCCTTATCACAGAGGTTTGCGACAGTGGAGAAAATTTGCTCAACCGGTTGCCCTGGGATGGGAAAAGAAGTATGCAGTTTGTATAGCATTTGATGATGATGATGATGATGATGATGATGATGATGCATAGGATCTTTGTGTTGGAATTTCTCTACTCTCTGTGCTCCTCATCTTTTGTCTCTCTCCTCATCACTCTCACTCACTTTGAATCACGTATTTTCTCTTTCTTCTTGTCTCTCTATCTCTCTCTCTCTCTCTCCTTGGGTCCTCCGCCAATGAATGCATCTGATGGTGCCTCTCCAGCTGCTTCACTTTGTGAGCGTGAGTTCAAACCTCACTCCTGTCGGGTGTTTCTCTTTTTTTGTGGAACTTGGAGTGGGGCTTCAGACATGGATGGTGGAGCGGCTCTTGTGGAATAAATTCCTTGCCAAGCAACCTTCCACCACAGAGATCACGTGCTATTTTGTCCTTTTTTGTGAAAAATACAGATTAGCCAAACACATGGCAAGGGCCAACAAGATCTAATAAAAAAAAAACCGCGTTAAAAATTCACCGACTTTTACTTCAAAAATCCAGCCCGATGGTACATCCTAGCTCGACAAAGGTACTCCTGCCCCCCGAGAGCTTGGCCGGTTGGGGGCTGACTATGTAGGTTGGTGATGAGAACGTAGCCTCGGCGGGTATACCCGGATCGGCGAGAAGGGATCCAGGACCCTGGAAAGCCCCAACCAAGTCTGCCTAATGTAAGATGTAGCAAAACAGTTTTTTTTTTCAAAATGTTCCTAATGTAATTCCCACAAAAAGGTAGCAAAAACAAAAAAAAGCAGCACATGATCCTTATGTATGTGGTAGCAATTTGTCACCAGTTGAAATTTATGCATAAAATGATGGGAGATTTTTCACAAGGATGAAAAAAAAAAAAAAATGAAATTTATGCATGATAGGAAAATGTATTGAAAAAACCTTCAAAAAAAACAAAAAGGACCCTGATGTCAGAGGTAGAAAAACATGCATCTGCCTCCCAAAACCAGATATTCCTAGGTAGCAAAAACCTGGATTTCACAGGTTTTACATTAGGTGGCTTGGTAGGGGCTCTCCGGGGTCCTAGGGATCCTCTTCACCGAGGTCCGAGGGCATGTACCAGCTCGCGGAGGATATGCCCTGTTCACAAAGGTAGGGTCCCTCCTCGCCGAGCTGATACAAACCGTGCCAGCCCGATGCTAGTGCGTAATCTTCACCGAGCCTGTAGGGGCCGGCCCAGCTCGGCAAGGAGGATATATGCAAGGACGTTTCCTCCTCGGGGAGCTTGCCGCCCCGGTGCGGCCAGGATCCATCCTCCTCGACGAGCGGGAAGCCGCACCAGCTCCATGAGGAAAAAATCTGTTAAACAACCCCCAGCGCTGCCCTCTAAACCCAATCGTCGGCCCCCAATATAAGTCGCTCCACCCGGTGCCGGAGTCTACTCTTTGTCTCATGAGTCAGCTTTCTCCAATCGTTGTGGGTTGTTTAACCAAATTATAATTATTTTGAAAAAGTTGTTTTTTTCAATCATGGACTTCTTTTCTGACTAGACTTTTGGATGGGTAGTTGGAAAATCTATGTGAGTCCTTTTGACGGAGGTGTGAAGGATAGCATACTCGAGCTTTGCATAATCTGTTTGACAACAAACTAGTCTGTTTAGTCAACAGCATGTTTGGTATGGAGGAAAATTACAGCCGGGGGAATGCAATTTGCTCTAGCCTCAGGGGTTACCCGCATGCCTAGTTAATGAAACATGGAAGAGTGAGGACAAGTCAATCACAACAGCAGCACAAATAACCAGGTTTGAACTGAATTGCCTTCCACACCCACTAAACCGGTTGGGATAAATAAGAGAGAAATTAAGAGATGGCCAAAATACTATCATTTGAGGGGGGAGGGAAGCGATGAAATCTGCAGAAAGAAGGATACAGGAGGGAAAAGGGAGCTGGTTGGAAGAGCAAAACATAATGATTTGATTATTATATTATTATAGTGTACTGAACGAAGATAAAAGGCAGAAAAACAAAGATGCTTGGGGTTTTTTCTTGTTCCAGATGGAGTGTTAAGTTTCACACGAGAGTTTGATTTGATTCCGAACACTCTCCAAAATAGTCCACATGACACCATGTTGAAAGAAGCTCCTAAATGCAGAGATCGACAATCCAGAATATAAAACTTTGATTCCGCCTCCATTAGATTTGCTGATTAATTGTTGAAATAGGTGAAATGCAGCTTTGAATCCAAACGAGTTTTTTGTTGTTGATAATCTTGCCTGTTGGCCATTCATGCTCTGTGAATTATGGGTTGAGTTAGTTGTGACTATTGAACTTGCTAATGCATCTCTTTGTAATCTACTCTTGACGACATCTAACGGATAAATTATGAACTTTGGAATCAATACCGGTCGGCGTCATTTGACAAGAACAGAGCAGTACGTAACCGGGAAAAAAAACATTTTGTTATCAATTTGATTGATTGTCTTTGTGAATCAATTTGACCAAAAAGTTCTCACCCAGCTGGTCACACCACAAGTCGAACCACACAAGAATGGCAAAGCCGATCTTGGTAAGACGAACCCGTAATCAGAAGTTGGCTCCAAAGACCTTCTATACTCAATCTCGTCGATTTTCTTCTCAGCAAAAAACCGTGCTGTATCGTATCCCAGGAAATATAGCCCTGTGCCGAGCGTATCCCGTAGACAGTGTAGATTGAAGCCGTAGTACAGACCTTTTACTGATCTTTCTCAGTATTGAATTAAGATTGAATCAATGTCAAAAATTTGCTAGATTTGGGGAACCGTTTTCTACTTGACTTAGATGGATGAAACCAAACTAACGCCCATGTGAACTGATGATTTCTCTTGCGCCCTGCCAAGTGTTGATATTCTTCAAGGGTCGACTTTGCTTGGCACTGTACGGAACAACCGATTTATTGAGTGGATCCCCGCAGGCCTTTTCGTCTCTACACAATCCCGAGACTTGCCGAGGGGTCAGGATTCACTCACGCGATAGCGGACTCTAATTGTGACCGGATTTTGACCAATTCGAATGCGCAGGATCCAACAGAAATTAAGAACCCAGACGACATTCCTCCAGCTAATCCTGAGAGTGCAATGTCACGCGCAGAGAAGCTGGATACCAGTTGGCGTTGATGTAAAAACTGCTTGGTGTCATTGTAAATTGTGAAGCTTAACGTCCGCACAATCGTGATCTGTGGTGGGGGGGGGGTGGATTAATTGTAAGTATGTGCACTGAAGATTTTTGGGGGAAAGTGAGTAGAATGAATGTTTAAACCGGGGCGATCATGTGGAAACGTCCTTAATCGACCTCAGGCCCAAAAGAAGTGTTAATATATATACTGACTGTGAGCATTGGGATGGCTATTCCCCGATAAAAGCCTTTGGGACCCTCTTCTACATACGTCTTCTTTACACAATCCATCACCGAATCATATCTGTTCACTTGGAGTCGAGACTTGATGGAATCCAGTGGGAAGGCCGCCATGGTCGCGAGCATTGATGAGATAGCAGCTGATACACTGGTCCGATGATCTGTTGGATAGTCCATCATTCAAGAAGTTAATCTTCAGAACGTTTAGCGAGGGTGATGTTGCAGGGATGATTTTCAATACTTGATCCTGCTTTATTTTGACTAACGATAAAGCATTTTCTTCAGTGATAATTCCAACGATGACCCCGGGGTCATTGACTTCGAAGGTCCATCCATTCGGCCGAGTTGAAATTTGAGGATGAAAGATTGAGACCTTTTTTTTTTTTGGAATTACAAGTGATTGTCTAGAAATTGAGGAATGGGGTTCATCTGCTTGATTTGTGGTGCTGATCTGGATAGTCGGATCCTTTGACAGCTAGTTCGATCGAGCCGGTCGAGAATCATGGACTGAAGAATCATATCAATTTGCAAAGGAACATCAGTGTCTCGTTGAGAAGGAAAACAACAGGGAGTGAAGGCGGAAATAAAACGTACACATCATAATTTGATTCGAGTTGAAGTCTCTCGGCATAATTCAGTGAATGGTAAAATAGGCAAACCTTCATCTATGTACTCCTTGGAAACGGTCAACAGGCATCCAGCACTTGGACTCGCTCCGATCCGATCCAGAATATCCGCACTCGCCCGACTCAGCTCAGGAGTCACCACGGCGCCAGAACCCCGGCGGAGTACTTTGGCCGCCGAGTCTGATGATAAACCACCCCGAGGTTTTCATGTACTGCTCGAGCCCCGGTGCTGGCAGTGCACCATTATTCGGAGTCTGAACACGGCGGTCCGCGCAGGGGCCAGGGCTCACTCGCCCGACCAGCGCCCTGCATCCTGTTCTGGTCGGCGTGATTCGGACCTGGGGAGAATCTTCAAAGCCTCCTCCCTGTGGGGCTCGGCCTCAGATAGACTCAAGTGTTTGTGATGTGATCACTTTCTAATAGATTGTATCTCCTTCTAATCTTTCCCATTCATTAATTTACAGAAAACATTCAAGTTGACAAATAATTCAAAAGAAGATCCAACCCGATTTGCACCCACATAAAAAAACATCAATATTATTCATCAAATCAATCGACCAAGCCTCCACGGCTTTCTTAGCAATGCACGGCTCCACAGATCTTATCCATGTCCCGTTATCCATGCTCCATGTAGCTTAATTTCCTCCGGCCGATATGAAATATTTCTAACAGAGAATTCACCAAGCAGACCGACCTGAATACTGGTCTGATGAGGGGACAAACTGCCTCGTTATATAAGCTCCTTACCCATATGAAGTAATGGTAGTAGCATAATAGGCCCAGGCTTTGTTGTGCTCGAGATGAGGATAAGCTGTTTAGCCCTGTTTTGTTACCTGCAATCTATGCACCTTCATTTGTCTATGATTACCCACCACTGACCATTCTCAACCTGGGAGTTCCGTTCTTGGTTTGTCATTGACTTATTCTAATCTCTTTCCACTCAAATTAATTTCATCTCCTCGGTGGCTCCACAAGTTTTTACCAAGCAATTTTTTCTACGCCTTGTTTGCAACTAATTTCCAAAGCCCTACAAGAAAAGACGACACTTGAGAAGAATTTATCTTAACCAACTTGGTAAACAAATCAACGCGTTTACAAACTTAATAATTACTTAATAATCACCGGTTATAAATTCAACATGAAACCGGCTAGCGGTCAAGAGTCAAAAGAAACGGAGCACACCGAAATTCTTCCGTTATCGCTGCTGATCACCGGAGAGAGATTGTCTTCCCTGTCATTTCCATCGACCTTCAGTAAAACTTTATCGTCTCACGACTACGATAGCAATGAGAAGGGAAGCCATTCCTCCGGAGAAGTGATCGAAAAAGGTATAGTTTTGCCTCCTAGTCCTAGGCCAGCGCCCCATCCTAGTGCCCATACTGTCGACAGTTCAATTAAGTTCTGGACATGGTTCAGCCCTTATCGACAGATGCTATTTCTAGTAGTGATACTTCAGGCCGTCATGATTCTGGTCACTCTGTCCGGTGGTTGGCACTTCGCCAGGACCCATTCTTCTGGGTTTGTCACCGGAAATCTGTTGGTGACGATTGCGATCCGATCCGAATGGGTGATGCGATTACTGTATTGGTTTTCTATCAAGTTGTTCAGGATATGGACCCCCTTGAAGTTCCGAGTGATAGTCGTAGCCATCCTGTACCACATCGGCAAGTCTTATCACTTGGTTCGTCACACTGCTCGTTTTCTGTGGAAGCTGACCTCAAGATAATCCATGTGATGCGATCTGTGTTCAGGCGGGTTGCATAGTGGATGCGGCATCGGTGCAATGATGTGGCTCATCCTTGCTTGGACAGAACATATCTTGAACAAAAACCTTTACCATTATTTGGTTCTGGCGTCATTGTGTCTCTCCATGACCGTGACTGTTGCAACTTGCTTCTTTGCAACACCTCTCATCAGAGCATTGCATCACAAGTGTGCTAAGTTTTTGAAGATTCCGATTGAAAGCCATTCAAATTGATTCTTACCGATTTTTTCTCCCATAATTCCCTTGGACACAGTTTGTTCGAGATAACTCATCGATTTTTAGGATGGTAAGCTACATTTTTCTTTTGATTCTTACAATATATATGCCATTCAAACCAGTCTTCTCCCATTTTCTTCCATCAATACTTTCAAGGTTAGGAATCATCACCGGTTTAATTTTTGTAATTACCTCGAGTTGGTGGGACGTGAACACGCAATCCTGGCGAGCATCTGGAAAACATCTTGTGGGACAAGAGGAGTTTTGGTTTATGATTTTCATCATACCGCTGTAAGCTTACCATTCATCCCACGTTGCAGCTTTCGAAATTCCATCAGACTAATTGAATCATCATTTTATTCAAAAGAGTCGTAGGTCAATGGATCACTGTCCGCAATGTACCTGTGACAGTCCAAGCGGTGGGTAAAGCATACCTCCAAAAGGTTCTGGAATACTCATTTGACTTGGCTCTTTTGGCTCCATACGCTCAAATAGCCCTCTAACAAAGCTTCGATAATCCGAGTCCCAGGTGGCTTGACATCTGGTCTTCACACTCGGGTCTCTCGTGGTGGATTAAGAGAATGGCACATCTTTGGTTCAATCAGGTGAATTATATGTCACGCCAATGATAGATTAGAGTAGATTCTGGCTTTCTTATCTTTATTTTGAAGAGCAGTGAAGGAAAACACGCGGATTGTCATTACATCGTCATGGCTGTTCAGGGTGGTTTCACGCGGGCGATGAATAAAGATCAACCAGAAACTTTGTACACTAAAACTTGGAAGGTTAACATGCTTTACCAAAAAAAAAAATACTTCGTAATCTCCTTCCCTGGATCGTCTTTTCTAATTCTAATTTGCCTCCCCCCCCCAAAAAAAAGCCATGTGGATTGCCATATTTTTCCAGACTTTTCCACCGGGGAGTAGCGATTTGTACGGGATCGGGTATTGGGGCTGTCGGATCAACATGCATCCAACACGATGATTGGTTCTTAATTTGGATTGGGGCTGATTTAGAAAGCACTTATGGCACAGAGTTTATGGATTTCATCAAAAGTAAAATCCAACCCGAGCGACTTTTGATTTGGGATACCAGAGGTCCTCTTGGAAGGCCAGATGTCAATGTTGAATTGGAGAGAGTTTACAAACAATGGAACGCTCAAAGTATTTGTCTTTTCTTTTCAATGGGCAATCACTCAAGTACGACAACTCATGCTTTCTGTCTTCTTTTCCATTGGATGATACGATGAGACTAGTTGCGCTATTCATTGGAAGTCCTGCTCTGAACAAAAGTGTCTTAAGGACATCGAGAGCAAGCGGAATACCCGTTTTTGTGAGCTTTTCATCATCTTTCCCCTAACTTCCACAGGCTTCTTGCTCTAAATAAAAACTTCTGTTCTTATGTAGGGCTCCATTTGGGATGCTTGATAACGACTCCCCTGGATTATTTTTCACCGGCTGGAACTCCAATAATGATTATTTTACTGGACACTTCTAAAGACATTTATTCAAAACTAAACACATCTATTTGAGCAGGTCTTCAAACCACTTAACCCTGATTAATTTTTTCGACTATTTATAGAGTTTGATCAGTATCTGTATTATGATACCAATGTTGTTGTCTGTTTGCTTTATGTTTGGATGAGATAAATGCAGGAATATTTCACAATTTTAATAATGTCAAGGCTGTTCTTAAATTCATCTTTTCTCTGATTCGAAACAGTGATCTGGCACTTTTTCTCTGCATGCCTGCGATGTGAAAGAGTTCTTTGCCCATCAAATTCTGGATTACGAAAGCCCGATTCAAATTGCGATCTTGATGAACGGTTAGCAGCCAACCTGGCTGAGTCAGACAGCTGGGAAATCCCCCAGTGACGTCACTCATGATCCTCATCTATCGTTGATCACCGAAAGATAAACTGATTTCCGCCAACCCAAGTTTGAAGTTCCGCTTCATCCTCTTGATGATATAAAAACTGGACCCCTCGAGTTCCGTTGACCATTCAGCATCCTCATCCACCGATCCTGAACCATCCTGCTTTCCACTCCGACTCCTGTGCATTCTTCAGTTGGAAATAGTAAATCAAGTGCTAGGTCACGACCAACGAAAAATATAATAGAATCGACACATATTTTGCGACATCTGTCTCTGATCATGTCTGACGCTGCAGCAAATGGAGCCTCAGAGGAGCTAAAACAGGCTCTTTCACTAGACTCCCTTTTCGGTCTTAAAGGTCTTGTAGCTGTCGTCACGGGGGGCGGAACCGGGTAGGTCAAATAAGAATTCGCTCCGACCCTTTTTCTGCTCTAATTCCCTTCCCTCCGCTATGGATAGGATCTAATTCATACCCCGTCAGCTACTGTGCGAAGGACGCTAACCACCACTCCTTTTCAAATAATAATAATAATAATTAGAATTGGCTTGATGTGTACTCAGGCCTTGGCAGCTCATGGTGCCAGAGGTACGTCTAGAGTAACGATTTCCTTTCCTAGGAAAACAAATGCTACGATTCTTCTTCTTCTTTCGTTTCGTTTTAGAAATATACGTAGAGCAACATCTCAAATCTCATCGATTGTTTATTTCCCTCTTTTAAGTTTATATAACCGGAAGGAGAGAAGAAGTGTTGAACCAAGCTGTGGATAACTACCACAAACACGCCGAAGGAGAAATCATTGGGCAAGTCGAGAGAAACTGGCCTCTTTTCCTTCAGTTCAACTGATCGCGCATGATAATCAAATTGAAAATATTATGGATTTTTGCGCTCTACAATAGGCTTCAAGCAGACGTGACCGAGAAATCTGATTTAGAAAAGATCATCAAAGATATTTCGGAAAAGGAGCCCAATGGCATACAAATTTTGGTCTGTGGTAGTTTTGAATTGGTCGTATTGATTGAATCAGTACCCTGGCCAAAAAACTACTAGAAACTTACTCAAATGGATTTCGATTTCCCCTCAATTTTCAGGTCAACAATGCTGGAATCTCTGGTCCAAAGACAGAGGTTTTCAGTAATGGACACTCGATTGAAGAGGCATCTCAAAAATTCCTCAAAAATGAAAGCTTTGATCAATGGGATTCCGTTTGGAGGACCAATGTCTCGGGCGTCTTTTTCACCACAGTTGCCTTTTTGCCTTTATTAGCAAAAGGGGGTAATAATAATATGAATTATCGAAGTGGAGTAGTCAACATCACCTCGATCGTAAGTTTGAGCAATGGATTCTCAGCCTTTCCGAAGTAAATCTTACTTATTTTGATGTAACTCCAACCTCACGATTCAATGTGATTCCATTTCTGCAGAGTGGAATGGTCAAGATATCACAAAACCATTTTGCTTACAATGCCAGTAAAGCAGCTGCTATTCATCTCACCAAGTGAGTGTTTCGTCAAGGTGATTCCCAACTCTCTGTAATACTCTGACTATCTCTCTGGGTTGAATCAGAATGATGGCATGCGAGCTTGCCAATAGTAAGATCCGCTTCAATTCAATCGCCCCCGGAGTTTTTCCTTCTGAAATGGTAAGAATTGGAGACCATTTTGAGATACATATCAGATTCAATTCAGAAGCTCTGAGCTGACCCAAACTCTTTTTTTATCAAGACGGCCAAATGCGGAAGCGATGAGTTGAGTTGACTAGGTCTTCCGTGATAATTTTATTCTTGAATTTCTCGGGCTAACCCGATGCTTCATTCGGGTCGTCTCTCTGCACTCTACGAATCAACACTTTTTTAAGTCGAGGCAAAAGTGACATCTCGGAGTCTTTTGATGCTTCAAAATACAAAATCCCGGCTGGGCGTCCAGGAAGGCTAGAGGAGATGGCGGCATCCATCCTCTACGTTAGTATCCCGTCTCCTGTTATCTCCTATGTATACGTGACTATTCTTATAAAAGCGCTTCAACATTATTTCCGTCTGTTACCAGCTTTGCGGAAAAGGTGGTCAATATTGCGACGGTTTAGTCATGAACGTGGATGGTGGGATTTTGCTGTAAGCAAAAACTTCAGGTGTTCAACTGAAGGAGTGACTGGCGTTGAAAACGGTTTCTATCTTCCTGTAGCACAAATCCATCGGCATGTTGACGGATGTCCTTCGATCGACCAGAACTCTCGTAGCTCATCCCCCATCACAAAAGCAGTATTCCATCTATGATCTTCAATGGAAAAAAAAATCCGTATTTAAGACAATTTCAAGATCGATCGAAATTTATATCTCATGAAGCCATAGCTGCCATATTTTGTTACATCTTAAGAGTTGCGTTCCGCTATCAATTACCTACCAATCGGTGATCCAGCCGATTGGTTCTCACAGGAAGTCTATAATAATTTCACATGTAAACATGATAGTATACTAGCAAAAAGCTGCATGATAACTTGAGGTTCATCCTGTCATGGGTTGAACTCATCTAATGAAGGTCAATATTTTGCGCCTCTTAAGACACCCCCCTTTGTTGAACTGGAGTTGATCGGAAAGTTCCAGTGTGCCCACAGAACGCCGATTGCGCCCATCTTGATTAGGAAAATTATATGCTTGTCTGAAGGTTATCGGCTGATTTGGAGAAGTATCTTACTCGGAATCCTTGGTTCGAGTCATATCCTCTCCTTCAACGCAGAGAAGGCTGACTTGATAGTTGAGCTGTCGAACTGCTTTCATTTCTGGCCTTGGGACGAGCAGGGAAGATTTTTATGAGCAGCTGGGTTATGTACAGTTTTTGTTGATGGTATTGGACCAGACTTACTGAAGAGCATGAGGGTTGGAACATCTGCTTGATCGATCAAACACTGGCCAGGTTTACAGTTGGAGACAACCACCATCTCACCTTTATCAGTCGAATCATGGGTCTCAACTCCTCCAAACTATCCCGATCAACTGCAACCGCCGTAGCTCAGAAGAATGTTAAACCACCACCTACGAAATCGGCCCCGAGTGGTGTGAGTTTCAGAAAAACGAATGGTAAGTGTTCTCTTATTTCGCCTCCAAGAGTTTGTCGCTTGTTGATGTTGATCAAAACTTGCTTCCTAACTCAGAAATCAAGCAGGATGGCTTTGATCCTCACCTCGGTCACATGTTGAACAAGTTAGGCCCGGTCCAAGTACCTAAGTTATCGACAAATTTCCATCCGGTATGTGTACTTGAGTGCTCACTCGATTCAAATCAACATGTGATACTAAAGAAGTACATATGTCCTCATTTTTTTCATAAACAAAAAACGATACAATGCACAACATGACACGGAGAAAAAAAAAGAAAGATAACATGTTAAGAATCTTAGAGAACAGGGGAAATGATTCCTCCGATCGTACAAATGAACACGAGCTATCATCATCACCTTCCACCACACAAAACCCGACCAGGAAACGTGAAACGAGATTGGACTTGATGACGATCGTAGAATTGATTAGACGACATCATATTAAGCAAGGAAGTATCGATCCATCATTCTCAAATTTCGATCAAGAAGATTTGGAAAAGCTATCAAAAAACATCGACCCAGATACTTATCAGTACTTAATTCGACATTTCCATCCGATCGATAATGTCAAATTGGTCAAGAATCCTAATCCAAACCAACGTGATGAACCTATCAAAATGGTACGTTTCTTCTACTTTTTGGGTTGATCTTACAAGATGGATCGGGTTTTGACCTTTTATTAAAATTTTCTTTTCGGGTCATGATGTGGCTCATGTCTCGATATAATACTAACAGGCTTATTGGTCTCGACCGCTACCCCAAACATCCAAGTCAATGTAACCTATAAAATGAATGTATTTTTCTCCTACCAGCCTAGACCTGACGTTTTTAAATGAACACAAATCGGATTTCACAATCCCAGAGCTCATCAAGCTTGCTCAATCTACATTGTATATATACCCAGCCTTTTACACCAACGATGTTACAGCTGATTTGAATTTGCTCAATACGGTCGAAGATTCCGACTCGTTTCTTGTACCTGGACTCTGGAGTATCCTTCCGGGTAAGAGGAAGAAGAGGGATATGCGAGACTGGAGTGTGGGCTCCCAAGAAGCTCTCTAGAGTTTTTCTTTTCCCCTGGGTTCTAGGACCTACCCGACTCGCTCATGTGGCAATCTTGGAAGACCCTAGCAGATGAACTACTGTCTTGCTCGTGCTGCACTAAGCCTGGCCAGAGACTCATTTCTATTTGCCCAAAATTTCTCACTTCCATTGTGTACCTTAAAAAAAGCATTGCGAATACATATCCCATCCTCATGCTTCGTGGAGAATGCCTCTTTCCCTTTGGAATTTTACAAATCTGAGTAGAAGAATTTTTCAAAATTTGAGGATCTTTGAGCTTCTTGAGTTGACTATCACTCAATTCATGTTTAGGCTTATTTCTTTGAGGTTTTCTACTTTGATATTTCTTTCCAGCAACCAATTCTGCATTATCGCGACAAAAGCTGGAGTCCAAGGGCAGCTCAAATTCGGCACTGAACGTGTCGCACTCAACTTTCACCCTCGGTCTTCTACTAAAAGCCACAAGAATACCACCAAATCATCAGGAAAACACCTAATTGAACATAAATTTCAATTGCTGCGTCCGATAACCTTATTAAGTTGGTTAACAACAGTTGAGACAGTTGAACCAAGCATGCACTTAACTCTATACTACGAAGACGTGCTTACAGCTTGTGTCGTTAAATAGTTGTACTCTTTCTGCTCCGAACCTGGCCGACGAGTGCTTTCAAGTAAGTCGCAAGTTCTGATCCTCTACCTTGAAGTTGAAGTTGAACGAAGGGATGACAATATCTCAAATTCTCAATTTCATCCTTTGCAGGAATGTTCAGGTCCACATCTATTGCTGGTCTGGCACTGATTTATGCATGCAAAGCTGTAGATGATTATCATTGGAGTCAGCTGGATTCGCCCCCAACGTTAGATGGCATTCTCAGTCCCATCAAAACATCACAAGCTCAAAATTCGCATTCCGACACCCCACTGTCAATGAGGACCAATACATTTGAATCTATCTCCACCCAAGAACCACTACTATCATTCCACAATCCCAATTCTCCTCCTTCAAGTGTCATGGATCCCCATGTTCATTCTCACCTAGATCCTGTGGTTCCTGATGATTGGAATGAGTTTTGGACAAGAGATAGTCAAGATCTCATGAGAATCGTGAATTCTTGCAAAGGGAAAGAGGGCCCTTGGCCATCGGTAGAAGAAAATCAGGATAAAAACATAAATATTGTCAGTTTATCATCATCTTCAACAACAGCTGCTGCTCAAAATAACTTGGATAAGCAGTTACTTTCATCCCATGAAAATTCATTTAAAAAACAAAAAACCAATAACAAACAAAACTTGATCAAGTTACATCAAAAACCTGATGGAAGGACAGACCACAACTCAAAAAAACCAGCAATTGATTCTTCAAGCAACAGTAAGCAAAATGTACATTTGATTGCTCCATGTCTTAATGTGGAAGCAGGTTCATCTCATGAGAATGTAGGAACAGTGGAAGAGCATATCACAAGTTTTCCATTAAATAACAGGAAGAGAAACTCATATGAAAGGAATGGTGAAACAAGCCTTGAAAAAGAGCCAGCTTTCCAATCTTTCATTGTCACAAATCCATCAGAACCATTGATTTCCAAAACTCTTCATTTCAAAAAACCAAGATTCAACAGTGAAGGACCATCCACAACCCTTATATTTGATTCAAATGTTTTTAGAATCGAAGAAGCTTCAGGCCTTGATAGAAACAGAATCCAAAAAATCATTGAAATCATTGATAAAAATTGTCCAGAAGAACCATTGATGATTGATGTAAGTAACCCACAAGATGCAGCTCAAGATCTTAAAAAAGCTACTGGTCGAGGGCCTAATTATAAAAGCCTTGAAGAAGAAGATCATCATCATCATCTGAGAAGTACTGGAAAACCAACAAAGAGTGTTTGGAAAAAAAGGAAAGATTTGAAAGTAAAAGCATTTGAAATTTTTGCATCTAAAAGCCACATTTGGTTCAAATTTTATAGAGACAAAACTGGAATTGATTTCCAAGATCTGGAAATAAATTGTGAAAGGAATGTTGGTGAAGAGGACATGAAGATGCATTTCACATTATTTTTGATTTATGTAGATATGATTAGCTCCATTCTTGTCAACAAAGAAGATCAGAAGAATGCAGAGTTAAATCAAAATGAGATCTTGATAAAAGATGCAGCTAAAAACTATGAATTTTATTCTCAAATTTTTGTTGGTGAATCAACATATACAATCAGTAAAGGAAGATTCTTAGATTTGGTTTGGTTTGAAGTTTTGCATTGGTCTAGTGGACTCATAACAAAACCATCATTTCATGAGTTCTTTAAAAATCCTTATACTAATAAATATTCTCCATTATTCTTTCATGCTATTTTTGCTTATTCTATTACTGAATTGAGTCAAAGAATTTCTCATAACTATTAAAATATCTGTTATTTTTATTTTTGTGTGAATATAAGCCAAGTTTTAAGGGTCATCACAACAACAGGATGTATAGTTACTTTCAAATGGAGTTGATGAAGAATGGTTTGATTGGTCTTCAGGTACATTTTTTTGCTCTGGTCTCTTATGTGACCAAGAGTTGATGGGGTAAAGGGTCACACTATAGCCAAGGAGTGGCTAGTGGAAAATGATCCTCTCAACACTTGTACAGTGGAGGGGCTATCTCCTTATAAGAATAAGGGACAACTGTGGAATGAGCTTCACAGTGCCTGAGATGAGATATTATAAGAGAAATAAGCTTGTACTAGTTTTATAAGTTAAATATGTAACTTAAAAAGAACAGTAATAAGATAAGGGAAAGTGTAATAGGTAATGTAACAATAGACTACTGTAAAAAACCCACTCACTATTTATTATAATGTAATATTTAGTAAGGTTGGTGGGTTTGTATGGTAATAATTGTCTGGGTGATGAATCTCAGGGAAATAGTCATCCACTACAAGAAAAAGTCAAGCAACTGTCAGCAGTTGACATGCATCAAGCTTCAATCAAACCTCAATGTAAGCTGAGGTCATTGTGCTGATGTAATTTGGTGGTACAACCTGAGACTTCAAAGGGGTGGACCAGAACAAGGTACAACAAAAGTGTGAGTTCAACTCAAGCTCAATGCAGAGTGTGGTCTGAGCTCATTCATGTCAACTGACACCATTTGCTTGACTTTTTCTTGTAGTGATCCCCTTAAATATTCCAGAGCAGGGGTAAAACTGCTTCTGGGACCAGTGCAGTCCCCTTATTGTTACACTACTCCTTTGGGGAAAGTGTCAGGATATTCAAAGCATGCCAAATGTGCATGTGTTGAATATTCTTTATTTCAGAAAATACACAGTAGCAGTTAGTGTAGCATAACACAGCAGAATTCCTGTTAGCGTTAAGTGTAGCGCAGCGGAATTCTGCCACGACACTGCTAATGCTACGCGTGTGGGCCGCAAAAAAGGGCCCACTATGCTGTGCTACAGCGCTTTTTGGCGCCGCTAAAAGGGCTGTAGTGTAGCAAAAACTTGCTAAAAAAACGCTAACACTACATTCTTTTGATGCAAAAAAGTGCCGCTACGCTACACTTTTTGTGCCAAAAGAGTAGCGGCCCACTGCCAAGAATAAATATACACACAAGAGAGATCAACACTTGATTATTATTTTCATGGAAGAGGTAAATTAATAAAGAGGTGAACCTTTGTTAATATAAAGAATATTTATTAACATAAATAATACATATAATAATAAATAAAATTACTGAATACTTATTAACTTAAAGATTACATATAACAATATTTATTATGTAACACAAGGGGGTTACATTCTCTTGTAGAAACCTGGGCTAGTGCCTCACACTATGAATAAATCTCACCAAACTGGTAGCAGTTGACATGCAGGTTACTCCCAATGTAACTTCTGTCATACTGTAATCTATTCATATGTAAGAGTATCTGCACAGTAACTGTGCAAGGTGCACAGTGACTGTGCATTGAAGTATGGATGAGGTAATGGTTGAGTAACATTTGATTGACAACCCAACTTTGAAGAGAGTTTCTGCATGTCAACTGGCAGCAGTTCCCTGAGATTTTTTCACAGTGTCAGTGTCTGACAAATGTGTATTATGGAGTTTAGCAAGTTCCCACCATTCCTTTTTGAAAACACCCTATATTTAATCTCAAGTACTCAACAGTTTTATAGGTACTCAATGTCAAACAAGACATTTGAGTAATGTGACTGGTATATGTAGCCTGAGGCAGCACACATATTGTCTGTCAGCTTGCTACTATGGCATAGACAACCTGTCATAGCAAATAAAAATAATAAATTACATATTAAGTCTAAGTATAAATTAAAAATATTACATAAGTAAAAGAAACAATATTACTTATGTAAATAAGATAAAAAATACATAAATAACTTAAAAAGTATAAAGAAAAATTTAATTATTATTGCAGATTCTGAATCTGAATACAATTTAACTTAGGGTACCTCAGCCAAAGTTACCCCAAATTCTAACTCCTTCACACTGTAATATATGCATGAATAATTAACAGGTACCCCCAGATCACGAGTACTGTGACACTTATGCATTATGCATAATGCATATACTCCAAATCCACTCTCAGAATTGGATTATTTTTTACAGTTTAGAATATAGAGCAGTGTGGAGTCCTGTCTCCAAGCCCACGCGCCACGTAGTCATGCTGCGCACCAGTATCCAAGGAATGGGCCACAAAAGCCCCAGAATCCCCATTGCATGTGACAACAAAGCCCTCACACATGTAATAAGAATGTAAACAAGCTAGAATATCCATGAAAATACTACAGTAACCATATTCCAATGGGTAACACGTGTAGCAAGCCTCAGAAGACACCTCTGGAATATTCTGTGGCCCATTTCCAAGGAAACTGCTCCACGTGACAGAGTAGCCCCTATCCACAGGTTCCCATGGGACATTCTTGGCTTTAATACTTCATGCATGACCCCTTGGATCCTCTAGAATATTATCCCCAAGGTTCCAGCCCTGGTTACATCACCATGTGGGCCAAAATGGGCCCAAAAGCACTCCCAAGTCCTACTAAGCTCCCCTGAGCAACCCCTGAGGCCTTCCACAGGTATTTAAAGGGCCTTCTGACCGCCCAAATAGTGATCCTCCAGCTTTAAAATACCTTATAGAAATTTACTTACCGTTTCCAAGTCCCCTACACTTGTAATTAGCCTAGTTACTACTATAATTGCTTTTATTAAGCCTTAAAAT